ACCTTAGTGGTTGAGTGTAGGAACAGAACACTAAGTTGAATATTCCAATACTGTGATCAGGTAGAAAATAAAGTGAAGAATAAATGTATTAAAAAAATGTGTTCACTTGTCATGGGGTTTTTATTATATCACATCATATTATGCCACAAAGCAGAATGAGTTTAAAATAGATCTGGCATGGCTGAGTGGCTAAGTGTCGACCTAGAAACCAGGAGGTCATGGTTCAATCCCCAGTCAGGGCACATGCCCGGTTGTAGGCTCGATCCCAAGTCGGGGGGATGCAGGAGGCAGCTGATCAATGATTCTCTCTCATCATTGATGTCTCTCTCTCTCTCTCTCTCTCTCTCTCTCTCTCTCTCTCTCTCTCTCTCTCTCTTCCTCTCTCTGAGATCAATTATATATATTTCTGTCTTTGATACTTACCAAAATAAATTTAAAAGTTCTGATGAAACCAGGAAATACATTTTATTTTCGGAAAATACCTTATTCTAACACAGGCATTTTAACTGTAAAAAACAGAATATGCTTTTATGAAAAATGCCAAGCTCCATCATTAATTAGTCCTTTAATGATGAACATTGCCAGACGCAAGTAACAAACAGACTAGTAACTTGGCTCCTGAAATAAGGATCTGACTATATATACAATGACTGTAGCATATTTTACAAACTAAGAAAAACTTGACCGTACATGTTAACATGCTTTTTTAAAAAGTTGTTGGGAGTACACTGGGGTCAAGCCAGATGTTACATGCTTCCAAAATTTCTACTAGGGAATTTTTAATGGGCAACTAAAAATAATTTCTTCCAGTATTATTGGTATGAGGTGAAATTTTTCTCACCTCTGAAAATGTATGTATGTGTGTATATCACAATGAACACATAAAAAATGCTCAAAGAAATCCAAATAACTATTGTCTAAAACAGCGGTTGCCAACCGGTGGTCCACGGGGTCCAATAGGTTGGCGACCGCTGGTCTAAAATATTCAAGGCATTATATTAGCCACTGCCTGTGTTTTATGCATCATTTAGTAATTATATTATGTTTTCTTCTGTGTCATTCTCTAACAAAAATCAAAGACTTAGCAATTGCTAAGATAATAAAATTCTAAGTCATCAGCATATTCAGAAACAAAACCATTTTCTTATATCCCAGCCTCATAACTCACTGCACCTCAGTGATTCTAAAACTGCTCTGGGACAAGTAGACTACTAACATAATCGCATCCCATCTGCTCACCAACCTGTCTGCTCTGCATATTTGGAAGTTAAAGATAACAATATTTATAAATTATATCACTTTCATCATTATCTTTGTGGATATTAAAACTGTTGTAACAATAAAATCCTTAAAAATTCTAAGTAGCCATCTCAATCTCAGCTTTGAGATACCACTCACAGAGAAAGCACATTTTCTTTTTTTAAACATAGACTTTTAAAGCTAAGAATTGGATGGCAAATTCTTTCCCGCCTCCTATATACCTGAGTTCAGCATTCTTGAGATGGCCAAGAAAACTAGGTACTTAGAGAGATTAAAAGTTAGGTGTGAGCTATGATTCAGATTCTTAATAAAATGACATTTCATAGATACGTGTGAGAAAATCTCCCCCAATTCTCAACCCTGAAATCTTTCTTCCTTTAAACACCAAAACCCAGGAGATTGATCTGCATTCAATATCATTTTTAGCTAATGAGTTTTTAAGTGATATCAATTCTTTAACTCAAAGTCTCCTTCAAGTTAATGATCATTTTTCATAACTAGGGAATTCCTCTTTGTTTTTCTTTATCAAATATTTAATGCTTTTCACTGAATTTATAAACAGAACAATCAAACCAATAATATTCTTTACACATCCACTACATATATTTAGATGTACCCTTACTTAATATCCATATAAATTGTCTCCTAAATTTATCTTCTAAATTTGAGAATTCCATGTAATATTAACACTAGAATGATTTTACCAAGAGTCCAGCATGATGTAGTATATTTTCCATGTTAGACATGTAAGGATAATCTAATGCAGCTGTGGGCAAACTATGGCCCGCAGGCCGGATCTGGCCTGTTTGAAATGAATAAAAGTATTGAAAAAAAAGACCATACCCTTTTATGTCATGATGTTTACTTTGAATTTATATTAGTTCACACAAACACTCCATCCATGCTTTTGTTCTGGCCCTCCGGTCCAGTTTAAGAACCCATTCTGGCCCTCGAGTTAAAAAGTTTGCCCACCCCTGATCTAATGTATAGAAATGATGGTGGGAATGTTAAATCTTATTCTTTTTTTTTTTTTTTTTTTTTTTTAGTATTTTCATGAGGCACAATGCATATCTAGAAAATGTTTAATAACATGAGCACCTCAAATACAGAACTGAGTTTTATTCATTCTTTATAGTCAAATATCTTAAAGTTTTATTATTTTTCCATGGTTAGTTCTCTTTCTACCAATAACTCCTAATGCCAACTCTCCTACCTCATTCCCCATACACTCAAATTTTTCTTTATATATTTACTATATCCATTATATCTGCAACTACTGCCCAACTTTTAGCAATTTCTCATTGTCTTAGTTTTTCGGTAGTAATTATCAACCTACAAGTGGCTATTTCGAAGTTTAAAATGAGAATTACTTTTGGACTTCTTGGATCAAAATGCCACAAAAATGTCTGAACCCAAAATGACTTGAGTAAGAAAGTTTTCATTGATCTATATCTGCTATTAAGAAACACTATCCTGATTAACAATTTCATATATCTAAATTCACCAGGGCATTAGGATAATAAAGTAATTTAACAGAATTAATCATTGTAAAAATGAATCACCATGATTTATCTTTTTCTATGGGAATAAAATAATTTCACCTCAAGGTAAAAATATTTTAAAATAAGACAAAGAAACACCCTTTTCTTTAGGATACAAGGTCAAATATAAAAGGTATAGATAGGGAATTTTAATTTTTCTTCCTGGAGGGCTCTGATGTTGGCAAAGAAAAGATCAGGGAGAACTATAACAAAGAGGAAATGGTAAAGAAAACTTAAATGTAAAGCAATACCTTACACTCATTAGCTAAAGGTGGCTCATATGACTCAATCCTAGTTATAAACTCTTGCTTGCTTTTCTTTTAACTAGGACTTTTGAGATGGTCATTCCCTGTAGAGCAACACTTGAGACTACATTTTAATTGATATACATTATCACTTAAAAAAAAAATCAGTCAACACTGAGTTATATAAAATATGAAAAGGGACTAAGTAATGGAAGTAAAAGTTCTAAAGGGTTCTTTCATTGGAAAAAGACTCTGCCCCCCCCCCCCCCCAAAGACTGCATAGCAAAGAGACGCTGGAAGTAGTTGTCAATTTCAGATTCAGACCCTTGGATTGGATAAAAAATTAAATTGCCATGTAAAATAAAAAGTACTGGTCACACCATTGCCTTTATGTGTCATTCTCCAACAATACACAGAGATGTAAACACAGGTACACTCACTCACACTCCCAGGCAGCATTACACATAATAATGGTGAAGAGGGAAGAAATATTTGGAGAGCTCTCCCTGCTTCCTAAAGTCAGCCAATAAATGGCAGCATTGGTCTCCTGAAAAAAACCAGCCATAATGAAATTTCCTAACAACAACAACAAAAAAAGGATAAAGAAATCAAACAATGAACTGTTGGCATTTAAAACCACACTTTTTAAAGCTCTGGGCTTTCATAACATGTGATCTGAAAGACAGAAAGATCCCAAAGTGACACCATCTCACCTAATTAGCCAGGACAGTTTGATATGTGAGGGCAGACGGAAAACAATTTAATTTAGAAGCAAAGGTGATAAAGATTATAAACTGCTCTTGTAAAATGAGTTATAGGGTAATATAAAATAGCAAAGATTATTCCATGATGCAAGGTTATAAAAATGCTTACCCAGAGATAAAGAGAATAACTGCATAATGATAATAAGCAAAACAAATGCCATAGCGACCCAGAGGTTGAGGGAAGCGGGGGAGAGATAGGGGAGCCCGGAAATACATTATTTAAAACCAGTGTTATTGTGTCTTAATTAAAGTAAGGCTGGATACATAAATTTTTAATATTTTAAAAAACCACGGGAAGAAAGATTTCTTGCAATTCCTAAATACTAATGTACAATAACAGCAATAAACAAGAGAAGACAGTTAATTTTCTAATGAATAATACTGTACTTATTTCCCTTTTCCTGTTAATTGTTATATTCTCTGAAGATCCTCATGTAGCTAAATTTAACAATTCTAACAATGCAAGCTCTTACAGTCACTGTCACTAGCCTCACCCCATCCCGTCCTAATCAGAGAGAAACTACTCCTTACCTTCCTCCCCTGTCATATGCATTAAGCTATAACATTTTTAAGGCCAGGGAAATGCCTTAATGCCTTACATACTTTTGTTCTCTCCGTATTTCCAGCATACTGCCTAGTACAGAGTAGTTCAACAAATAGATGCTTTCTGAATAATAAATGACTGAGCAAAGGGTCTGGGGAAGAAATGGTCATTGTCCCGCATGAGGGAGCTGAGACCTTCCGCAAGGCGGTTTAGCTCATTGCACTCTTCCCTACAGTTCTTATGTTTCCTCTTTGTACAGTCCACCCCCTCCCACCCACCCGCACACCGTGTTCTCATTAGGAGAGAAACTGTCTTTTCATATTTGTATCTAGGACACAGCACGGTCCAGGCGCAGAAGCGGCTGCTTAAAGACTGATTGTGGAATGAACGATCTTAGCTACCTAACCTGCCTGGGGGAAGAATACCAGTAATTCTAGGAGCATTTAATGAGACAAAAAATTTAACATAAAACTCTCCTAATTCACACTGTATCAGAAGCTGGCATAGAGATGTTCAGACATGATCGCTTCCCAGTCAAGACCTTCTGAGTATGTGGCCACAGAGAAGTGAGGCAACGTGGTGCTTCCATGGGACCCAGGGCACCTGCGGAACAAATCCTGACTCTGCCACGACACTAACTTCTGACCTGTTCCGGAATGCTTTTACTTCATTTTCTTCATATGTGAAATGAGAACACTGGACTGAAGTAGTACTTTTCAAAACAAAATTTAAGTACAGATACCTTTAAGAAGAGAAATATAAATATAAATATAAATATAAATATATATATATTAAAAAATATATATTCTAGAGGCCCGGTGCACAAAAATTGTGCACTCTGGGGGGGGTGCCTCAGCCCGGCCTATGATCTCTTGCAGTCTGGGACCCCTCGGAGGATGTCCACCTGCTGGCTTAGGCCCGCTCCCTGGGGGTTTGGGCCCAAGCTGGCAGTCAGACATCCCTCTGGCAGCCCGGCAACCCTCGGGGGATGTCCACTTGCCAGTGGGGAGCAGGCCTAAGCTGCAGTCAGACATCCTTAGCGCTGCTAAAGAGGCGGGAGAGGCTCCCACCACCACTGCTGTACTGGCAGCCGTCATCCTAACTTGTGGCTGAGCAGAGCCCCCCCTGTGGGAGCACACTGACCACCAAGGGGCAGTTCCTGCATTGAGCATCTGCCCCCTGGTGATCAGTGTGTGTCATAGTGACCAGTCATTCCCAGTTGTTCTGCTGTTAGGGTCAGTTTGCATATTACCCTTTTATTATATAGGATAGAGGCCTGGTGCACGGGTGGGGGCCAGCTGGTTTGCCCTGAAGGAGGATGTCCCGGATCAGGGTGGGGGTCCCACTGGGCTGCCTGGCCAGCCTGAGTGAGGGGCTGATGGGTGTTTGCAGGCTGGTCACACCCCCTTCAGAGTGGGGGTCCCCACTGGGGTGCCTGGCCAGCCTGGGTGAGGGGCTGATGGCTGTTTGCAGCTGGTCACACCCCCTTCATGGTGGGGGTCCCCACTGGGGTGCCTGGCCAGCCTGGGTGAGGGGCTGATGGCTGTTTGCAGGCTGGTCAAGCCCCCCCACCCCCCAGTGGGGATCCTCACCCCATGGAGGTTTGGCCAGCCTGGGTGAGGGGCTGTTGGCTGTTTGCAGGCTGGCCACACCCCCTTTAGGGTGGGGGGGTCCCCACTGTGGTTCCTGGCCAGTCGGGGTGAGGGGCTGAGGGCCGTTTTCAGGCTGGCCAAGTCCCCCCAGCGACAGAAGCTCCCAGCCTCTCCATTTTTTCTTTTCTTTTTTTTTTTTTATTCTGGGATTTATTTACCTTCTATAATTGAAACTTTGTTGCCTTGAGAGGAGCTCAGAGCCGGCCAGGGTGGGCGGGAGGGAAGCCTCCTGCTCGCTCCAGCTCTGTGGCCACGACCGGCTGAAAGCAGGTATCTGGGGTTTATTTACCTTCTATAATTGAAACTCTGTTGCTTCGAGTGGAGCTCAGAGCCGCAGCAGGCAGGAAGTTGGCTTCCTCCATCATTGGGGCAACCAAGCCTCCTGCTTGCTCCAGCTCTGTGGCTGCCAGCTGCCATCTTGTTTGGGTTAATGTGCATATAGTCGCTCTGACTGGCTGGTGGGCATGAATTAAGGCATAGCGAAGGTACGGTCAATTTGTATGTTTATCTTTTATTAGTGTAGATATTTTTATTGTTTTTAGAGAGGAAGGGAGAGGGAGATAGAAACATCAATGATGAGAGAGAATCAATGATCGGCTTCCTCCTGCACGCTCCCCATTGGGGATTGAGCCTGCAACCGGGGCAGCCTGCAACTGGGCATATGCCTTGACCAGGAATCGAACCCTGACCTGGGTAGATGCTCAACTGCTGAGCCATGCTGGTTGGGTAAGAGAAGAAACAGTAAATAGAACTCCAAATACATATTTTAACAAGGTGACAGTGGGGCTGCTTTGGTCAGTTGAAAGAGGCATGATGCTTGTGGGAGATAGAACCGAGTCCCTGTTCTCTTCCCCCTTTCCCCTCACACACATCACTATGGGGACCCCTGGCCATCTATCTCCTAGGGCTCCAAGGAACCCAGTTAGAGAACCAATGAACTAAAAATCTCTGCGGTCCCACCAGCTATAACATTCCATGATTTTATAATTCAATTTCTTCTAAGGTTCTAAAATCAACATCAAGATACCTCCCATGCAAGTATACATTATCCTATACATTTTTTAGCAAGATCTTTGGAGCTGAGCTGGAATTCAAACCCAAATCTATCTGATTCTGGGGTCTGGGCTCCTGAACACGATGCTCTGTTGACTTGACAAGACGGCAATAGAAGAATCCAGTTCTTGGGAATCTCCCACTCCCCACACATGGATAGGGCCCAAGATCAAGCTTTCTTGTATCAAATTGCCACTACACATAAAGATAAATAAAGTTGAATGTCAAAAATCTAGCTTTACAATACAGATCCTCAGCAGTATATTTGTTTTTAAAAACAACTTTATAAAAGAATCTTTAAACTATCCTCTCCCCTAGTGTGAATATGCTTATAACTATTTCATTTTTTATTAATTTTCTCTTGAGTAGATATCCTGCATAGGTCAGGATATGCCTTTACTATTTCAGCTGGATTCTACATACATCATTTATGAAACTTTTCTAGGAAACCCACTTTTATTAAAGAGAGATCACTCTGGCTCTCAGACTATGAACTCTTATTAATTTTACTGAGTTTTCCTTGAAATGATACATTGCTTTAAGTGAAGCTTGTGATATCTATATAGACATACAAACATATAAGCTATCACATATACTTGTAAATGTTAGAGTCTCAATTTATACTTTGAATCCCTAATTCAAAATAGTACCATACGACCTTACAATTAATGGAAACAATTTAAGGGGTATTGATATTTTCTGTTCTTTCTAGCATATTATAAGGGAGAGGCAGTCAATTGCTAAACTGCTTTTCCCCAATGTGCATATGAACAAATAAGAATTATCCTCCACATCATGATTCTGTAAACAAGTTCACTGCAGACTGCTATGTTAGATTGCATGATAGAAAAATATTTGTGAATGCTCAATATGAGTGAAAATAAAAAATAAAATTCACACATAGTTCTAATTAAAAATGTATTTGACCTAACTTCTTGACAACTTCATTAAAAATTTAGTAAAGAGTCTTCAATAATTTTGTAAATATTAAATTCTTAACCACTGCCAGGAAGGTGGGGCGGGGGGGGGCGCAGCGGCTGGGTGCAGGTGGGCAAAGGGGGTGGAAATGGGAGATATCTGTTACAGTGTCAACAATAAAAAAATCCTTGACTGCTGCACTGATCAGTGAATTAACAAAAGTGGTATCGTTGGTCTACACCAGCCGTGGGCAAACTACGGCCCGCGGGCCGAATCCGGCCCGTTTGAAATGAATAAAACTATTGAAATAAAAGACCGTGCCCTTTTATGTAATGATGTTTACTTTGAATTTATATTAGTTCACACAAACACTCCACCCATGCTTTTGTTCCGGCCCTCCAGTCCAGTTTAAGAACCCACTGTGGCCCTCAAGTCAAAAAGTTTGCCGACCCCTGGTCTACACGGAGGTGTAATTAATCCAGAACAGTATCTCCCAAAGGATGTACTTTGAAACACGACATTTTACTGTCAAACAGGTTCAGGAAACATTTCAAATTGTATTTCTCTCTTGGAGATCCACAATATATATTGTCATTGTAGAAGCTTCTGGAAGTTCTACAGATAAACATTTTTTTTAGCTTATTTTAATCTATCATTTATCAAACTTATCTGTCAGTATCCTGGTATAACTAGTATCACAGGAAATAGGAGTGGAAAGCCTTGATCTATGATGATAGGACAGAAAGAATTAAAATAAGTGGGTGGTACCAAAATCATTTATACTGGACTTTGGAATGCATGTAATTTTATCAGATTTTCTTTTAGAATGCTATTTTCTTTTAGAATAGGAGCATTCTGGGTACCAAGAAAAAGATATGGGATACTTAAGGTTTCAAACAAAGTAAGCAAGACATTGGTGTAAAATGAGAACTGCACATGCACATTTAATCCTTCTCTAGGAAACCCCTAAGGCAGTGGTTCTCAACCTTCCTAATGCCGAGACCCTTTAATACAGTTCCTCATGTTGTGGTGACCCCCAACCATAAAATTATTTTCGTTGCTACTTCATAACTGTAATTTTGCTACTGATAATAATCGTAATGTAAATATCTGATATGCAGGATGTATTTTCATTGTTACAAATTGAACATAATTAAAGCATAGTGATTCATCACAAAAACAATATGTAATTATATATGTGTTTTCCGATGGTCTTAGGCGACCCTGTGAAAGGGTGGTTCGACCCCCAAAGGGGTTGCGACCCACAGGTTGAGAACCGCTGCTCTAAGGCATAAAGGAAGACAGTAAGAAAAGAGCAAGCAGTCCATTTGCTAAAAGGCTGACAGCAGCATACTTACACTGCCCATTCAAGCTTCTCATTCTTGATGGAGTTGTAGAGAGCCTGTGAAGACAGAAAACAAGATGGGATTATTCTTTTCATTCCATTCCATATTTTGAGTTCAGACAGTAACAAAAGCCCTAAAATGCTTGAGGGATTCAGCAAGCAGCTCTCAAGCCCCTTGGCTGGCCATCCTGTGCAGAGATGAGGAATGCACAGGGTAAGCAGCATTTTGAAACAGAAACACACACCACTGTACTGCATTTTACCACAGTTAAACATTATACATTTATATCCTATTTAAAACAGGATATGATTAAAATTTTTCTTATGGTCTTGTAGTTTCACTAGTTTAGATATTGGAGTACTCATACCTTTTTAATTAATGAAATAAATAACTATTTCCACAACAATTTAATACATGGAAGGGGGACTAGGGCCAGTTCTAGAAAACCATCTATACCAGTGACTGAAGCAGCTGTTACTTGTCTAACTCTACGATTCTGCTTCACAGTGGTGTGATGCTGGTGTGTGCGCGGTGGTGGATGGGGAGGCAGAAGGCTGCTTTAGAGGCTTGGTAACAATGACAAAGGCAGCACAGACTACCTCCCTAGGCCTCCTAGCTCTGCATCACATCTATGCTCCTTGGAATCAAGCTGTTCCACTACGACAACAATCCAAGGAAAGGCCACTCCTCCTCATGGACACTCCTCTTAATTTTGAGTAAGTTGCTATAAAGAAAACACAAATGTATCTCTAAGATATAAAACCACATCAGCAAATTATACTGAAGAAAAGGATAACTTGGGTGCATAATAACACAGGGATGAAGTCGGAATATTTTTCTCCAAAGAAGGACTTGAACCTATTAGACACAGCAAAGACGTCATTTACTTTGAGATGGAAAAAAGGGGGATCAGTGCCATTCAACAATCATCTTCCAAAAGAGGAAGTGGGAGGTTCAAACAGTTTCCCAGGTAGCAGAGCAGGGGGAGAAATGTATTCCTGTCGCTGCCTTTCACTCTGTCTTGTCCACGGGAGGAGGCAGTCTACATGTGTGTAAACAGAAGACTGCACACCAATAGTGAATCCCCTTTTCATTCAAAACACTTCCAAGTTCAGTTCAAATATATTTAGGCTACAGATTTTATATTATTTAATATCCAAGACATGTATCCTTAGCCAATATCTTGACAGACTTTGGGAATTCTTCAGTGTGGCTACAATAATTAATTTAACTACTGAATAATTATGAGAGTTACTAAAAATTAGGAAGCATTTCATCATTATCAGGACATGGTTAAACATATCCTCAAATATAAAAATGATAAAACACCAAATTAGAATAAGGGGTAAATCAAGGCACAAAGCCCATGCTGTAAATTGGACATTCTTTTGGGAAAACTCAGATTTCCTAAAAACTACAACCTATGACCTAGCTAATGTCCATGAGGCTGCACTTAGAGAACTGCAAAGAGCAGATGCCTAACTCAAGACTCGAGAGAATCTTGCTGCATAAATGGATTCTATTTATGCCTTTAATGGATTCTATTACTTATATGAGACATTTTGAACCCACAAGCAACAGTGGGCTGAGAAGCTACAATTGAAAAGAGAGATTAAAGGTTCTTTATAAACCATCATACTCAATACTACCCAGAGTAATTTAACAATGTGGTAAAGAAAAAAAACCTATTCATAAAGATAGTTAAAAATGATAAGATCTAAAATTTTTCTAACACATTCAAATTCAATTCTGCCCTGAAATAAAATCTTTTCTCCACACCCCCCCCCCCCGCCCCCAAGAATGTTTTAGTTAAAGAGTTACCGAGTTCCAAATTGGAAAATTCTTGTTACTCAATCGGCTGCACACGGTACAACAACAACATTATAAAATTCAACAAACCTGCCACATTCTAAGTCCAGTTCTCTCCTTGTGTATATAACAGGACAAATCTAAAAGGGGGATGTTACCTTAACCTTTTCAATCGCAAAATTACAAAGGGATTTTCATGAATCATTTTACAGTTTTTGTATGATCCATTATTTTTCTTAAGAAAGCAAAATTTGTTTTGCAAATGCATCCAACACTCTCATACTCTCACCACAACTTCCTATCATTTTTATCTTCTTAGCTTAGTTAAGAAATAAATTTCCTGGACTTCCCACAGGACCCACTTCCTTTCCTGTGCAGCCTGGACCCCACACTCGGCTACCTCAACCCATCTTGTTAACATCTATTTAACTCTCAACCAGTCAATCCCACTCTGACTTTTTCCCACTTTGAATTCTCTGCCCTCTCCTCTCAACACTTCTCCCCTTCCTACCCCAAACATCTCCCCTTGTTTCTTTAATACACAAGAAACATGTTTACAACAAGCGACGCTCATTCACACCTTTGTGTTTCTCAACAAGAGAAAACCAACAGTGCTTTTTCCAAGCTCCAGTTTGAAAAGATACCAAAATGGTGTGATTTAGGTCACCTGTTTTCTTCATGGACTAACTAATCCATGTTGCTGGGAGATGAGGTACCTGATTGGGCCCATCCCTGGAGCCACGGGGGCTGGGTATCTATAAAAGAGAGGGTAGCACTGACCTAGCCACTAGTGTGACCCTCTTGAGCTGCACAGCCTTCTCTATTTGCATGTGACTAATCCAGCACTAACAGGGAAAATTAAATAACAGCACAAATTAAGGCCGTGGGAGAGTCATCATCTCAAACATCAGCAGAGCCTTCACTCATGAGCCTCCTTCAATTTTTTGCCATCTTCCCTAAAATGCTTCTGCACTGGCATCTACTCTTTCCTTCTCCCTGATGGTAAGAGAAGGAGTGTCACATCTCTGCAAGGCTAAGCCCTCACTGGTTCTGATACCTTCCCTTTCTGCAGTAACATCTCTTTTACTGGCTCCTTCCTAACAGGCTTCCAACAGGCGCATCTCTCCCAACCCCACTTCTGCAATTCAGTCATCACCTTTGTTCCTTAGCTTCTCTTTTTAAGCCAAGTTTCTGAGAGATGTTCCTGTAATTCTTATTTCCACTTAATCTCTTCAGTTCAGGCAATCTAATTTTCATTCCTGTTGCTCTATTAAAACTGGTCACAATAGACGCATCAGCTTCCTTCAGTGCTAAATTCAAGGCCACATTTTAGTGTTTCTGTATCTTTTCACCTTTCAGCAGCACTGAATACTCTCAAATATTGTCTTTCTTATTTTCTGTGACACAGAGTCTCCTGAATGTCCTCCTCTCTCCTTGGGTAATCCGACTCATTACTTCTGTCTCCCTCATCTTATCTCTTAAGTGTGCGTGAACTTATCGGTTATCTTCAGCCCATGCGAACCCTTGTGAAGTTCAGATCCACATGTCAGCTGCACCTGGATGTTCCCAAAGCGTCACAAACTCAGTCAAGAGGAACTAGGGCATGAAGACCTAATGGAGAGAGTGTACTCTCAATCTTAGCAAACTGTATTGGTATAAAATACTATGTAATTGTTTCAGTACAGAAACATGGCATATAAAGCACAAGGTAGTTCATGTCTATGGTAATACAAAAAACTCAAGTCAGAGTCCTCAATGGTAGGCAGGTAGACAGGCCTGAGCAGAGCAAGGATGATGGGCCAGGTACGAAAGGTCAACAAGGAAAGCCCGGGTGCCTAACTAACAATGGGCAAAACTGAGAAAACAAGGACCTTGCCATCAGGGTGACCTTTCCTCCCCTAGTGTATGGCTGGTCATGTGGTTTTGACCCCCTGGCCTTGCCTATCACTGGTCATGTGGATGGAACCCTGATGAAGTTAATGACCTTGAGATGGGAAGAGTATCTGGGCTAAAGTGGTGTATATATAGGAAGGTGGCAGAGGGAGTTTATGACGGAGAGAAGGCAATGTGAAAAATTAGAGATAAGACACAGGCCAAGGTATGCCAGCAACCACCGGGAATTGGAAGAGGCAGGGAATAGATTCTCTCCTAAATACTTTGATTTCACATGGTTGGCCTCCAAAATTGTAAATAAATTAATTTCTGTTGTTTTAAGACATCAAGTTTGTGGTCATTTTATTACAGCAGCCCTAGGAAAGAATACATATGGGCATAAATGGAAGACAGATGTCTGAACAAAGAATGATCATACCTACGGGTTGATTTTCAGAAATATTTCCAGAGTCAGTCCTTAGGTAAAACGTAGTCTTTTACTATAGTGGTCTCAACTGAAAGTCTGCAGGTACGCACCAGAATCAGCCAAGGAAGTTTTAAAACACTGATTATTGAGCTCTATCGCAGATCTACCGAATCATCAGGAGAGAGAGAGAGAGAGAGAGAGAGAGAGAGAGAGGCTGACTTGTGTGATTACACAATGCATGGTAATGGGAAAACTTCAGAGATCAGGCGTGGGCTGTCAATGATAGTGCTAAGCCTTGAATAAAACTGTATTTTATCAGAGGATACCATAGCTTCCAGTTCCCCTCAGTGAGGCCGACAGTGCCCACAGTGAGACTTTACCCAGCAAGAATTCTGATACTATCAATGCCTGGTTATGGCTATATGTTATTTTCTAAATATACAATATGAGGAACCAGATGAGGAACCTGTACACCCATATTTCCCAACACCTACATGAGACTCTGATACGAACCCTTGGTGAAAAGTCCCTGCTTTACAAGCTTGCCAATTTTTTCTCTAACTGAAGTTCCTGCTACTCAACCAGGACCGAGACACAATCAAGTGCCTCCACCCAGACTCAACAGGACAGAACGAGTCTTCAAATTCAAAGGAGAAAGCAAAGTAAATGGCGTAAATTACAGAGATCAAGGAAGCTTGGCCTAAATTTACTTTCAGTCTTTGTTCTTCACTTTTGATTGCTCCTCAAGAAAATAAATTGCAATTTTATTCAAGGCTTAGCACTGTCACTGACAGCCCACGCCTGGTTCTCTGAAGTTTTCCCCATTACCTGCATTGTGTAACCGCAAGTCAGTCAGTTCTCGTTCTCTCTCTCTCTCTCTCTCTCTCTCTCTCTCTCTCTCTCTCTCTCTCTCTCTCTCTCTCTCTTTTGCAGTCTATGAAATTCATG